TGACGACTCAACCACATGCGACTATAATCAGCTGTTCTAAACTTCCTCATTGGAAGTCACGAAAAAGCGGCTCTGAAGAAGGCGATACTGCCGAAACGTCAGCTAGCGTTGTATTGTATTGTGTTTTTATGGAAGTAAATGTATGCTGTTTAAAAACCTCGCGATTGCTGAACAAGAAAACGACACATTCATATTCCAATGCCGGAGTCAACAGTGTTTCCTAACAGTAACATTGTTGTGAACATCACTGGTGCAACCGCATTCGAGCAATGTAATCAAACGTCACTAAGTGAAACATCAGCTTTACATAAAATAAAACAGAAAAATAAGTGGTTATTGCTCTTACTTGAGGCCTGGATCTTTGTAGACCAGCCGGCTGTCGATGTCAAGCAACTGCTCTGTTCGTTCCATTCGTCGCGCGCCTTCGTTGCACTCACCAACCACCTGCAGTAAAATCTGACGATAATTTAAACGTTGACTACTAGTCGCCAGCTTGGCACTAAAACTTTCTATTTGAGTAGCATACCGTTTAATTTGTGACCAGCTCATTTGTCTTATTTTTTATCATTCAAGATCAAAGATTGCAACTCCCGGAACTTATGGCATACAATTCATTTTCCTCCATTCATCATGGAGGAAGGCATTCGAATTTTTCTATAGATTCGGCGAGGATTTTCGTCTTTCTTATGAATATCGATGAGTACCGGTCGAGTTAATTTCCCTGGTAATCGTGAGCTATCCGTGCTAGTGGGTTCCATGGTTTTCACCATAGGCACTCGCAAACCTTTGGGCTTCGGCGGGGCCATTCCCAAAGAAGTTTGCTACAAAGATCCCGATTCCGGAGAAACAGGAGGCGAAACAGGGCTTTGCACATATTATTACGACCATGTAATGCTCAGTAATCAATATAAAGACGGGAGAAGCGCAGTGGTTAAAGATGCCGTCCTCTAGAAGGAGAAAATAATTGCTAAAAGCACCGCTAGAGTTACAACCTGAGTGAGAGAAAGTCAGATCAAAGACCTCGGTTGGAATGGTGGATAGCACGTGAGGTCCAGTTAAGTATAGTCGTGGGTTCGAAGCCCAACTCGGGTTCCAAGTTTTGCTCATATCTTAGCACCTTATGGCTGTATTTCACATCATACCCTGCCATGGAGAAAGAATAGGCAGGCAATAAAAGCTAAAGCGTTAAAGATTATGTCTTCCAAGCAATAGTAATAACGGCAAAGCAGCAGTACAATAATAATGAGTAAAAATAATACGACATATAAAGAGATGAAAAATAAAAGAAAGTAAAAAAATAGACGACCTATAGAAGCTTTGAAGGTTGTAGTCGAAGAAAACCGTAATAGATACGGTTCTAAACGCTCATAAAATGGGAAAATGTGGTCTCATAGAATTTTTAAGTGTTGGAAAAAAAGTGAAGTGAGAAATGAATGCATCAGCAATCTTTAATACATGGAGCAGAGAAATAATAGCTGTTGGTGAGCTTGCAGTCACGTGTTTGTTCTCGTACCTGGATGGTTTAAGACCTTTAATAGTCCGAAGTTCTTATGGAAGCAGAGGTGCATGCGCATAGTGCAAAAAGCTGACTAGTCGATAAATCACTTTATTCAAAAACCTTCTAGAAACAAAATTCGTATTGCTTCAACAATTTCATTGAGAGGACACAAATATAGTCGAATATCTCGAAGAAACCAACCAACATCACAAACTCCAAAAACAGAATCAAAAGATGGACGGATAGATAGAAATAGAAAAGACTACGTAAGATAGCTACCTTATTGGCGGCATTTAGAGCCCGTGTGGTCACCTCATACTCGTTTCCTTCTCTCTGTAGACGATCGAGAATCGCATAAACAAGTAAAGGATACCTGGAATAGGCTAGTTATCCTTCGTGAGTAGATATCATATTAAGTACTTAACACTCTCAGTACCGTAATCAACAAGGTACATTGGAGATATATACATATATTTGAAGAAGAAAAAATCTTCAAAGCTTAACCAGTCTTATAAGACTCCTATCTAGATGAAAGTTCACTAATTTCTATTAAATACTGAGAAATGCCATATGAGCCCAACCGTAAGCCTCGGAGAAATTTATGTGAGTTCCGTCTCACCAAAAGCAGTAACATTGAGGCACCTCATAGGAAAATGGTGTGACGAGCTTCTGTCTCTCGAGCGAGTGGAACTCGTCAATTCTGGTTCAAGAAGAAGATGAGTGTGGAACGCTGTTGGTGTCATGCTGTCTCTCGACGATGAGCGTGAGGACAAGTGATAAAGGTGTTGGATGGTATGTGCTACAGTGAATTTAAAAATGTTTCTCAGAATAAACAACAACATAATGTTTTCTGCCTAACGGTATCAATTTGGTGATTCCATCAATATTCTGCAAATGAAAATTGGAGCAAAAATGGCTTTGTGGGGCACCTCGTCACCCGTTGCATTGGCAGCATGAGAAACGATCTCATATCGAGTCCTTGACACTGTTTATCAGCTTCCATTTTAGAAACGGCTTCAAGAAAAGCAGGGTTCTCGGCCTTCAATCGGCGCAGCGTCCGCTCTTGGTACACCTAAAAACTCGGGTTTTGTCCTTGTTTTTTTGTCATCGTTTGGCGCTCTTGTAAATCAAGCACTGTCATGAGAGCACCATAAGGATAAAGTAAGTATAATGAAAAGCCAATAATGCCTTTAAAGGAGTAACACTAGTAAAATAACAATTATCGTACTGCCGAATTCACTCAAAAACAAGCGTGGAAATTGCGCGGCAGTAGTGTGGGCGGAGCCATGTGAAGGTGTGCGGCGCGATGTACTACCTAATTGCTATCTGCTCCACCAATCATGGTACGTCTCGCTTCTACAGTAACTTGCTAAGAGTGATTTATTCAAAAAACTAGTCACGATTGATTAGTAAAGTTAATTTTGAGTTCTCATGCACAAATGTGAAAAATTATTTTATTACTACTGTTTATTACACGACCTGACATCACATGGCCGTACCATGCGGATCACAGCAGTTCTTGCATTCGATTCGTTTCCTCGCGCTCATTAGCAGCGAAGCTTTTCCAACTTTTAAGTGTGGTATGTGCTGCTGCTTGTAGATTTTTTCGTTCTCTTTACAAATATCGTTGAATGGGGCCGAGTCGATTCTTTTCGCTCCAGCCTTGGGATAGGCGTGCTAGAACATTGTCGCGTTGATCAGAAGAAGAGAACTAATCGCAAACAAGTATAGCACCAAATTGCCGTCCACGGAGAGAAGGCCTGCTTGGTGGACGCTGCACGGATTCAAACCGACACCTGTGTTGCTAGGACTGCCGCGTAATGAACCGCGCCATTACCACTGTTTTACTCTCATTATTTTATAAAAAATTATACTGGCCTAGTAGATTGTATATCAGTATACCCTTCCAGGCTCTGAGGAAGGCGATACTGCCGAAACGTCAGCTAGCGTTGTATTGTATTGTGTTCTTCTATGGAAGTAAATGTATGCTGTTTAAAAACCCTGCGATTGCTAAACAAGAAAACGACACATTCATATTCCAATGCCGAGGTTAATAGAAAGTCGATCCTGGAAAAATTATACTATTAAAAGCGCTTACTCATAATCTTTTGCACCACTGTGTGTTATTTCTACTCTCTTCTTTTCTTCGTTTGCTTCCTTTAATCTTCTATTTCCTCAGCGTCAAACGCTAAAGGCTTAACAAATCGGCAAAAAATCGTCTAAAATTATGTAAAGGGTTTATTTTTTGTCCTTTCCCATTCCAATTAGCTGTTGATTTCAGTACTGTAGTTTTCCTAATTTCATCAGAAACCTCATATCATAAGTGTTAAAATCAAGCAAGGGACGGAGAGCACAGTGGTAGTGATATTCATCATCACGAGCATGGTGCTAGTTCGATTCCGCTCCGGGCCAACCAAGCCTCTCCTACTTCCGGGGTCGGAAAATTAGTACCGGATTTGTCTGGGAAAAAATCACTCTCTGCAATCCAATTGGGAACGCTCCTGCCCGGTTATCTCAGGACACCAGGGAGAATTGCTCGACCAACATTCACGACATTCAAGATGAAACGAAAATCCTCAAACAGCAACCGAAGCCGCACGTAAAGTTGGAAGATTTTCGTGGACAATGGATGTGAAGAAACAAATCGAATGTGAGAATGTGCTGGGATCCGCAGGGTAGACATGAAGACGGGTAACATGAAATTTAAAAAAAAACAAGCAAGCAATAGAAAAAAACTGTAGTAGCGTATAAAAGCGGAATCCATTTGTAATAAATACTAAACTAATAAGGACATAATAATTACATATGCAGACCATATTTATGGCTCATATTACTGTCAGTGCGTAAGGTGCTAACCAACTGGATTTAAATATAAATACGATCGAACCCTTAGTGGCAGTACTCAAAATCAGTGGACCATCTACCTGATTGGAGCAGTACTTCACGTAAACGTCGAAGTTCGTTTCAAAGTGATGAACGAGAATACTGCACAAATCGTCCAACACCAGATTTTGTTCGAGTCTTGTCTCCAAATCCGACAGCAGTCTAAAGAGCCTCAACTAATTAATAGGTGCTACGTTGTGATTTATCCGAATACTACGAATACTAAATCTAGAAAAACGAGAGAACAGAGAACAAATGAAGACTTCATTCTACTTCAAAAATGCAAAAAATATTGCTGAAGTATAGGAATTGCTTTTTGGGAGCCATCTAATTAGTGCCCACTTGGTTCCTTTTCATCTTCCACTTTTCTTCTTTTCAAATTCGCTTCTTCCCAAAGGTTTGGAAATTTCCTTTGATAGTGAAAAGTTGCATTGTGCAGCAATGAGCAGTTATTCTTCATGTTGACGATATTTTCCTTTTCCTTTGTCAACCTACTTGAGAATTTTTGAATCTGAACAGTTATACCAGCGGTTACTTACCGTTCACTGCAATCTCGTACTGCGAAAATATTACTAAATAAGTGCTTTCGTTCAGAGTTTGTAATCACCGAAAATGAACTCTTTGATCCTGAAATGAATTAATTCAGAGAAAGAACCTCATTGTAGTTTGTTCGCGATGATGAGGACAGAGTACTGTAGACATGACCTACCGTATCCCACAGAACTACGTGTAAAACCAGTTTGCCTACAGTTTTGCCGCTAAACAAAGAAGGAACACCTTATGATGGCAAAAACGGGCTACACTCCATTGATTTTGGTACAATAAGAAAATTTAATTATATGAAAAGTATAAATTAAAGTCGTACTATTGACAATAATATTTCAAAAAACGACTCGTTTACAGAGTTTTCAAAGCACAATCACGACCAAGATGAAATGTTTACTGAAGATTTAGATGTACAAGAAAAGAATCAAAGAAAAGACTACTCACCCATCAATTCTTGACTAGCCATAAAATGAGTGATGAGAATGTTCAACGAACGTAAGTAGCTAGCCTCACTTGTGATAACCTGAAACAAATTATTACACACATGTTGACTTTGGCTTGATTAACATCACTACTATATCTCTCCCCTACCGAGTGAATTGCTCCCAGACAATCTCTCGACTCTGGAGATGAGAGACTCTGTGAGCTCGAAGCGGGTTCGAACCAACACCGTGCTCATGGCGACCGGTACCACTACCACTGCACTACCCGCTACCTAATTTTTGGCGTTGCTGAGGAGAAATCGTCTAATTAATTTTCCAAAATGGTGATGCGTGCGAAAGGAACGAGTGACAGACCATTAAAGCGTAGAGGAACTATTATTCCATAGAAGGATCTCCCTCATTTTGATTCTACACGTCAGTATTTTTATTGCCGTTTCGGAAGCTACACGAATATTAGGCGATTTCTTCACTTTTTTGAGGATTTCAAGAGATCCATAGCTGGTTTTTTATTCTGACAAGAACAATTAACCCATTTGAATAAGAAACAAGTAAACAAATAAATAAACAAATAAATAATGACAAATGAAAGGGAAAGTGTGCAAATATCTCAACGCATAACAAGCAATATGATGCGGCTCACTTCGAAATATGCTTCTTGTCGAATTTTTGTCTCGTCGTCCAGTGTGTCTAACAGACCAGCGGCTTTCACCTAATAAAAAAAAGACTTGACTCAATACGATCTTCATTTCAATATTTCGAATCAAAAATGATACATACAAATTTATGGGAACTAAATATGTGAACACTAAGGCCTTCAAAGAACTTCGCTCACCAGCGTTGATAACACACTACTCTTTTTTTTTCTAAATTTTCAGGTATTTTTGCATTCTTCACAAAGATTATCGAGGTGTTTTCGTTGTATACTCGACCAAATTTATTGAAATTTAGGCCTTTCTTTACAAGACCTGTAAATTTTCGATTGGTCCACAAAGAAACGCTGTATGAAGTTTTTACATTGTAAGAACTGAAGTCCCTCCTAACACTTTACCGCCTCATCGCGGCTGGGAAGTGCTCTTGGGTGCCGGGCTGCGATGCACAGTGGGAGAATTTATCTCCCGACAGGGTCTACAAGCCTGAGAAGAAGCTCGGTGTTTTCATCAAGGAACTCAGCTAACAGTAAACCAATAACAGATTCCACCACCGTCTTGATATGAAACTAGTGGAATGGTGGCAAATCTTCCCATAATCCATAAGGGCGGCGACTGCCTGGGGCGGTGAAAACCTGGGACAGGCTTTGGCTTAGTTGACCATGGGACCCCTGCAACCACAATGGGTAAATCAGCAAACCTCTGAAAAAAATGGAAATTATGCTGAAGCTTGCATAAACAGAAAGGACGGGCTATCCAAGTATTATGCGGATTCACCCATTCCAATCTCTAATGCATATCAACGTTGATGTGACAACACTTCTCCACTGTGGTCGTTTCACCAGGATTCAGAGAATTTCAAGATTTATTTCTCATAGCATGTCACACAGACCGAAAAAAACTGATGGCCATTTTTATCGCAAAAAAAAAATACAGGACAGAATTCACAACGGCGATCTCTTTGTTCCTAGCTCAATTCGTTTTGCTCTTATTGAGCAAACTTCGCCTTTCTAATCTCTTTCAAGGGACAAAAAATTATGAGATAGTTAATGAAAACAGTTTTTCCGTAACCTCCTCAGTAGATTCCTTTAGACACTAACCATCAATTCCCACCTATCAAACAGCAGATATAAACTATTTTTTGGTACCGACGACACCCTTTTTCAGGAAGGCACATCTACAGGGCTAAACTTTCCGAACAATCTGTCCATTACGCGCTCGAAAGCTCTTCACAGATCTATACTTTCATCATTTGGTTGCCAAATTCTTAAAGATAAGTGCTACCTTTATTTCTCAATTCAACACATTATACATAAAAAGATAGAATACAGCAAAAATTTTGAAACATTTATGGTTCAATTCTCTTTCAATGTGTTAAGGGATGACTATTCGACCACATGGTGAACTCATTGCACTACAAAACTTTTATTTAAGACCCTCAAAATACGTTTTTCTACTCTTTCTCTTCTGATTTTGTCTTTAGAAACATTTCAAAATAATCGCGCTATAATGTGGGGCTAACCTCTTCCAGCTCACACCATAGACTTCTTTGACTTCCGAAATGCGACGATGCAATTAGACGTTCTCTTCTCATCGATGTAGTCGATGTTAACGCTGACGCAGAGGTCGAACAATCTGCTCCACGACCCGAATCCGAAGAAGTACACGACTCGCGACGAAACTGTATTCCAAAGTTCAGTACATACGTGCGTATCAGTTATATCAATGTATTTGCTTTCTAGGCCTCGACCGCGATTAGAAATCCGTCCGAAAGTGATGAGCTCATGCAATTTGAAATCAAGTGAGTATGAGTGTCACCTCATTGCCTTAAACCATTTAACCCAAACTAAATGAATTTAATTCGAATTTCAAGAACCTCTGCGAAAAAAATTCGGTACATGGAACTGAGTGATGAAGGGAGTCGTGAGATAAACACCTACCAAATCAACTGAGGTACTACTCATATCATTCAGCGGTCCCTGCTCCTCTGGAAAGGAGCCAGTTCGTTTTGACAAATCCCTTGCTCTCAGCAGCATTCCATCGAACAATTTGTTGTTTTCAGCTAACATATAGATTTGATAGAGCGGTTGATCCACTGGCAATCTACTTGTGTACTGGCGGGCGTAATCCTCTTCTTCAGGAGAAGGTTCATCCTGAATGAAGAGAACCTCGAAGTAAATAGTCTTTGTTGAATTTTCTCCGAAGACAAATTACAAGGAGAGTGAGGGGCCGATATCAAACGCCGGAAAGTTTAGTTATTAGTGTTGTGACATACCGTGACAGGTGAGGTTATTGATAGCTCAGCAAATGGAAGCGTATCAGGACAGCGTGAAAAATTTTCTGGCGGACCATCGGTTGAGTCATATTCGTATTCTAAAAAATCGGAGAAAGTTTTACTTTATTACCATTCATTTATCAATGTTTAAAATTAAAAGCGGTTGGAGAGAGAGAGAGAAAGAGAGAGGGTGAGAGAGAGTTACGTGGCTCAAGCTTGAGAATAGGAGTTAAACGTGGGTCGTAAGTGATTATGTAGTTCTCTTAAGATGCAGATTATAGGACTCTCGCTCAAGTTATTCGATGATGTAGGTGACAGCGCAAAACTTCGTCAAGTCTGCAGATGGAGTATGCCATGTGATTTGTATTCCTACATAGCTCAACGGTAAAACACCGATTCCTTGCGTTTATGCTGGAACATGGTTTAACTTCCCAATAAAAACCTCTTACAAACGAGATATCGCAAGGTTTAGTGGTGATGACCACCGAGAGAATTGAGACAACGAAGTTTGTAAAACAATATACGTCTGAATAATTTTCTCGAAAAAGTTAACTGCTCATTGATTACGTTCCACGAATGGTTTTCAAGCAGTTAAAAAGCAATTCAAAAGAGAAGCCTTTCATTCAAATTGCAACGCTGTGTCTTTCTCCACCTACCGGATTCCATTTGTGACAGCGGAAACGTTCGATTTAGTTGTTGTTCGAGTTCTTTATACATCGAAGAACGACGATCGTCGTATGCATTTTGATCTGAAGGCAATTTTGCCATGAATGGAGAATCTCTCAAGAAAACAACTGAAAAATTGCGTAGATTTGCTCTAATACGTCACCAAGAGAGCCCACTAACAGAAATCCAAATTGGACAGTGGGAAAAAATCGATAATCGGTTACCGTCAGACATAAGGAATCATACAAATGAATATCAACATAACCAATCTACGAAGTTAGGAATTGTTCTGATTTACTGCGCATAATTATGTGATGCGCATGTCGCACACTGGTTAGAGGTACTTTGCAATAAACACTTGGTCTTTGGTTGGCTCTTCCGCCCTAGGTTAACAAAGCCCCCACATCCCTCCGCGGTGAGCAAATTGTTGCCAAGTTACTTTTGGAGAACGAAAATCACTCGCTTGGTAGATCGGTGGGCTACCACAGGCACTGTACTGCCCAAATATGCATTCATTTATGGTTAACGGACTCTAATGCATAGTGCATCTCTAAGGGATTGACTAACCAAACACTTTTCGTCTTTTATGCACTTTGGTTCCCATAATGATTTATTGCGCCATAGGGGCCGGCGGTAGTGTACAGCAAGAGAACAAACTCATGGCAGCGTAACCTAGGTTAGGAAGGAACTCGACTATTCCATGTGCAAGCCCAGGAAAGAGTAACTCTTATGCCGTGGGATGGTTCAGTACCATCTCACAAAGCAAAGTAGAGAAAACCCAGCAAAAATTGTAAGGCCACTGCTATAACTCGACCGTTCGTGACAAAGCTGGCGTAAATGTGGTGCTCAGTGGAAACATATGGAGATTTATGTTCTGACGTTCGTGTTCTATACGTATCTGGCGTTCGCTCAAGTTAGCTGATAATTTCAAGAGCATAGGCCATCTAACAGAAGTGACAAAACTGATATAGGTCAGCTAATACAGGTGATACGATATGGTGCACACCTGCTACCTGATTTTCCGCATGTTTATAACTAAACACTTGCTCGTTGAAGCTGTCAAAGCAACCTCAGTCTACTGCACGTCATTCCAATGTCAAAAGCGTTACAGAGCATATCGATACCCCTTCAAAAAAATCATCGAAGTTTTTTTCACCGTTTTAAAGAATATTCTTTTGATGTTCTTTTGACAATTCGAAGGAAATATCTCATTGAAATCAAAGTAACAGCATCACTATATCCATTCGGAAGAAAAATGATGCTATAACTTGCAACGAAACATGGAGTTCTGAACTGGGATTTAATAACAACATTAACCTCAGCATGAAACCGGGTTTAGCAGGGGCTGCAGAAAGAACGTCCTTATTATTGCTGAGTTCGCAGCGGTTGCAGCTATCTTCGTAGAATTGGTACCGAATCTGTTAACTAGGGAAACCTTGTCTCAGGTTATTCAAATCACACAGTAAACGTCGGAAAAAACTAAATTCGCCGAAGAATTAGTTATTTTTTAATGAAGTAGATCAGCAAATAAAGAGACAATGTTTAGAGGTAGATGGCAATAGTCTTTATTTCGAGTAAGGATAGTGAACGTCTGCTGTTGGAAAATTCATGTATAGAACATGCTGTGATCGTCGGACACCGACGGATGCCATCAAATAGCGAATGCTGTTAATCGCACTAGCTGAGGAATAAGCTAAACTGAGGAAGGGAAGCTGTCACATGACGAACGAGGACCAAAATGATGAGTTCATTTGCCGTATTGTATAGCCACAGCCAGCATACGACGCCGTTTTTGAGCTGACTCATAGCCGCGATAGCTTCTCGTGCGTAGCAAATGCTTTACACACGAACGTCACTAAGAAGGGAAAACACAATTTTGCCGACATTTCCAGTTGCGACGATAGGTGAATGTTTATATAAGCCGCCATTGTGGCAGAAATGAAAGATGAAGGCAGGAGGTAAGACAGGAGAAAAGATGGACGACGTCGAAAAACACTCTGATCAAGAACTTGTCGCGCGACGACGACGACGACGACGACGACGACGACGACGATGCATTACGGCCAGAAATCAGAAACAAAACAATCGGTGTGACATTGTGGCGTATCAGCAATCGTCAACTAAACACGATTCATCGCCGTCGTCCTAGTACAATACTACTGTAATTCTATGAGTTGTATACAAAGTAGATGAGCATTACGCAAAGAAGGAAAAAGAATGGCGCAGAAATGAATGGACTGCAACGAAGAAAAATTGGGATGAAGAGGATGAATGAAATGAGAAAATTTGAATAGGCAGGAAAAATCAAGAAATAATCTATCTGTTCCTTAGATGTTTATTTCGTCCTTAAAGGGGTGGTGCATGCCTTATGGTGTCGAATAAAAAAACGCCTATACAATAGTGTTGATGGCATCCAGTAATGCTACATGTTATTAGAAATAATTTTATGTTAGTTACGATTTTTAGCGAGTAATGAAAAACTGAAATGATATGGTAGAAAGCGTTTGGCGTTCATCAGCTCCTGAAGGATGCGCGCCATGTATTGAACTCTATTCGTAACACCGCGGAGGTGCCTCAATGTATACCTGGCCCACAAAATGAGGAAATGGAAAAGCAACGACGCATGAAATCGGTGTTTAAATCCAGCCTAACAAGTCTGGCATCAGATTCTGGACCGCGATAGATACATGATTTGGTTTGGTTGGGATGCAGGATCAAAAGGGTCGAACTAATGACCTCGTATGTATTGCAATGCACCCTCTAACTACTACGCTGCGGTCTTCCACTTCGTACCCTTGCTGTTGTTGTTATGACGTTTTCAAACTTGTCTAATGGCGCCTTACTCTGTCGTGTGACTCACAGCAAACTTGGTTTTCTTTTTATTTTCTCGCTCTCCATTTATTTCATTTGTTTGTAAACCAGGGATGTTTTTATATCACTATATACCACTGAGAGAAGAGGAGGGAAAAAGAGCGCTCTTCTGGAATATCTACACATAGAACTTTCGTGGAACAGGAAAAACTTCTTTTTTCCTAAAATGCAACACGATTTTTCACCCATCAACACAACATTTTGAAAGCCCTAAGATGGCTATTTCTGAGCTACCAGGAAAAGAAAAGCATTACGCATTTAGAAAATTACCAGTCAAATTGTACAAGTATTTAAGTGAGTGAATAAAATTTATTATACTGTTTTGGAGACGAATATAACGAAGTGGTTAGGGCTGTCCGTCCCGCAATAATCCTGGTGGCCACTGTTTCGACAACAACGCGAGTCAAACATTTTGTTTGGGGAAAAGCTCTTGCCGACCTAAAAGCCTAGTGAGCGCCTGTGGTGAAGACCTAGGAACATTCAATATATTATTCCGAGATTCTAAGAATAACAACGATAAGTAGACATTCAAGGGCACTAATGAAAAAAGAAACGATCAGATAGCAGCCGAGTATTTTCGTGGATGATAAATTGATCTGATTGAAAAAATCATATAATCATCGCAGTACATGAGGATAAAATAGGATAAAGCTCTCGGCGTTGACCAATCCTTGAGGGATGCGCCATGCATTCGACTTCATTAAGTATCGCTGGAGGTGATTGAATGCATACCTAGCCTTTACAATGACTCGCAGTGGCCTATTGATGTATCGAGCCAGTGCTGCCATCCTTGCAAACAAGTCTGGCACCAATTCACCGACTCCGGAGGGATGGAAGGATTGATGGGTCATAGGCTCGGAGATCCATTCCACGCGTGTGTTGCAGGGCGCTTCCGACCACTACGCCACACGCTCCCTAATGAGGAAGGTGATGTAAATAAAGACTGTAGTCGTTTCCTTTTTGAAATAAATGAGTAAGTAGAGTATGATCATTAACTTTTCAGCCTTGACAAATAATGTAAGACAATTTTAAGAGCAAGGATAGTTTTAGACAAGTATAAAGAACTCTCCGTAAAGAAATATAACAGCAGCACCTAATCGCCACATCAATGGCCACAACACTATCGGATCGGAACGGATTGGATCGGATTTCAACGGTCAAATCCGATTATTTGGGGCCACAGCTCCTAAATTCCACACATATCTTTTACTGTGTCAACGTGTAACTGAGATTGATGGATCAACTAACGTTGTGGACTAAACTATATGTAAGTCTATAACGAATTGAACGGTGATTGTTGTGCAATGGTTAAAGGTCTCCTGGAAGACACACGTAGGTTATTGGTTGGATAGTGCCCCTGGATTAAGCAAGCCTTTTATCTATCAGATGACGAAAAATTGGAACCGAACTTGTTTGGAAGGATCAGATGCATTAACTCGGCATTGGTAGGTCCCCATAAATCATTTTGTGCAGAATATGTATAAGTCACTTCTAGGAATAGAGTCGAATACATGCCGCATTCCAAATGGATAACTTCCAAACGGTTTATTCTTCATATCCTTAACGAGCCGAAGATTTTATTACCTATAGATGGAAGAATATAACCGACAAAGAAGGCAAAGTGATTAAAACTACAGTTGGTCGGTTACGTGCAATGATTTTCGACGAATAACTAACTAATGAACACATCAGCCGATTTCCCCAAAACCAAAAAATTTCAAAAACGAACAAAACTTATCGCCAAGTTTGTTCACATTAAGCATCATAAATAACAAAATTAATTTCTTTTCTAGGGACAAAACAGGTTTACAAAAGCCTTCAGCACACTCACGGTGTAGCCGACATCCGATTACTGGATAACTGAATACTTGAATAACCCGTCCCGCCTTCACCAGTCAAATAGAAAATCTTCCGTTTCACTAGTAATGTGCTGGTTGAGCAAGGTTTTTCTTCCTTGGAGTCCCGAAATCGGTGCTACTGTATTCTAGGGTCGTCATTACTTACCAGATAATAACTACGCTGCGGCTAGAGTAGCAGTGAATTATGACACTGCTTTGTTCTTAGCTATGCTCCCAGATTGAAATATCAAACTCTTTATATATACGGTAAACTTGGACGTGGCAGCGATCAAACCTGGCCGTACGCCGCAGTTCCACAATCAGGACCCACCCCCGTCATGTTAGGAAGGTAAGCCACTAAGACGCTCAAACCGTAAGACGGTACTATTTAAATAAATGCTATTGTTTGTTTAAATATTCCTATTTTTGCAAAAGTCTGGACCGCAGGTGTCTATGGTGGGGAGCGAACGCGCTATTATCCTTTCCGGAGAGTAACGCGTTCACCACCATAGACACCTGCGCTCTAGAGTTTTGCAAATATCTCAGTAACGTTGTGGTTGTATTTCGCTTAGTAACCTGCCATGAAAATTATAGAAGGCAGAAAAACAGAACGTTAAACATTGTGATTCCTATTTTTCTATTTTTTTCTATATAACTTGTATTCACATCTACTCTGCAGATCCCAGCACTTCTCACATTCGATTCGTTTCCTCGCATCCATTACCTACGAAGATCTTCCAACTTTACGTGTGCCCTTGGTTGCTGCTTGAGAATTTTCATTTCATGTTAAATGTCGTAAAATATTGACCGAGCAGTTCTCCCTGGGCTCATGAGATAGCCGGGCTAGAGTGTTCCCAATTGGATTGCAGAATGTAATGTGATTTCCCAGACAAGTCCGGTAACAATTTCCCGACTCCAGAGGGATGACAGGCCTGGTTGGCCCGGAGCGGAATCGAACTATCACCATGATCGTGATGACGGATATCACTTCCCCTGTGCTATCCGCTCCTTTGTTTAAATATCATAATATTAGTACAATAGTGCTAAATACTACTGGAGTACTATATATTGTAAACTAGCACTAAATATTGTGCTACAGAATACGGATATAATAGTAATAATATAAGAATAATAATAATAAGAATATTACTATTATAGTAACAACAATAAATAATGATAAATAATAATAAACAAAAATATAGGAAAACAATGGCCGTAACATAATAATAATATATAATAGTAGTACAATAATACAATACAAAATGTTATGGTTTAAATAGTATAGTACTATTTAAGCCTGTATTGTAACAACAAATATCCTTTTTATGTACATAATGCTATACTCCTCCCAACGGTTTACCGCCTCATCGTGGCTGGGGAGGTGTTCCTGAGTGTCCGACTGCGATGTACAGCGAGGGGATTCATCGCTTGCCAGGGTCTCCCAAGCTGAGAAGGAGTCCGGCGTTTCCATCAGGAAGCGTAGCTAAGAATAAGATTCACCACAGCGCTGGTATCAAAATCGCATGGTGGCAAATCTCCCTCTGATCCACAAGGGCTGCGATTGCCTGTGGTGGTGAAGACCTAGGCCAGACTTTGGCCAGGCTGACCTCGGGATTCCTGGGAACGACGATGGCTTAACCAGCAAATTATCAAGAAATGGAGGTTACGCCGAAGCCTGCACAACCAGCGAGGACCGGCAATTCAAGTATCAAGTAATTAATGCTATACCAGATCCAAAAAAAATATTAGGATGCGCTCCTTCAACAGACTTCTATGAAAATAACTGTTGACCTAAAAAACACGACAGTGTTTGTATAGTGCTGTGCATTTTTAAACTACATTTTCAGTTGCCAGGATCAACTTTCTGTTAACCTCGGCATTGGAGTATGAATGCATCGTTTTCTTGTTTAGTAATCGTGAGGTTGTTAAACAGCATACATTTACTTCCATAGAAAGACACAAAACAACACAACAGCAGCTAACGTTTCGCTCGCCTTCTTCAGGGTATACTGATATACAATCTACTAGGCCAAACGCTTCAATAACACTTACAAAAAGACGAAAAACTATGGTAATTACGTGATCAACAGCTTCTCGAAAAACTCACCGCCTTTTACGTGACTTACAATGAGGAAGTTTAGAACAGCTGATTGTAGTCGCATATGGTTGATGACTGCACCATCCCACATCAGAAATTGATGGGAAAATACGGGGTCAGGTCGCGTATGACCTCTGGGCATTCCTCCCTGCTATTCATTGTAGGGTTTTTGGCATTTATCCAAAAAGCCTCAAGAAGTTTTTGCGCTGGTGTCTTCTGTTTAGTCTCCTCTGCAATGATATTGACAACCATATGCGACTATAATCAGCTGTTCTAAACTTCCTCATTGGAAGTCACGAAAAAGCGGTGGGTTTTTTCGAGAAGTTGTTGATCATGTAATTACCAAAGAGTTTTTCGTCTTTTAGTAAGTGTTATTGAAGCGTTTGGCCTAGTAGATTGTATATCAGTATACCCCTCCAGGCTCCGAAGAAGACGATGCTGCCGAAACGTCAGCTACTGTTGTGTTGTACTGTGTCTTTCTATGGAAGTAAATGTATACATTTTCAATCTAAAATTCTCATCAACTTTTATTTACTGCCTATTCCATTCGTTCACATCAGGAAGCAATGTAAAATATAGCCACAATGATGCTGAAATATGAGCAAAACTCGAAACCTCAGTTGAGGTTCGAACTCACGAATACGCTTTCCGGGGCGTCACTGTTATTGTATATCACATTGTACACCGCCATTAAGAGAGAATAGGCAGTAAATAAAAGTACGATATTATGGTTTCGATCTCATTATCAGCATAGCTGAGTTTCAAGGATCGCTCCCGTTGATGAGTGATTGATGACGGCACCCTTAAGGTAAAAAACTGGCTGAGAAAAAGGTATAGCAACGGCCTCGATTAGAGTGGTGGACCCTCGAAAAGGGCAGTCGCAGTTGGCTCGAAACCCACCTAATGTGCCGAGTTTTGCTCATATCTTGGCCCCATTGCGTAATTTTCACTACTGACCACTGATATTCGTTTTGTATTCAAGAAATTTTAAGAAAAGAGGAGTAAACGAACGAAAAAGAATCGCGACGTGTTTCGACGTACCGTCGTCGTCGTCGTCGCTGCTCCATTCGTCTCCGTAGATGTAGAGGTCTTCAACTGGAGATGTCGTCAATTTGCGTTCTGAAGCCACCTCGTTCACATCATATCGACGCGTGTACGCGATATCCTTCAATGATTCGCATCGAACGCCCGTCCGAATCCGCTTATCGGCAACTTTTTGTCGTAATTGATCCATCTAAACGATCGTCACCGTTTTATAATAGAATCTAAGATGAAACGCATTGTATGGTATTGCCTTCAACGAGTATTTAAGTTAAAGGGCATTGTAGTGCGGGTACGGTAGTACTTTTCATGTATCTGACAACACGAATAAGATTAAGCTAAAGTAACCCATTAGATTATGGACATCGACAATAAGAACTATAGAGATCAACCCTTCTGAATACCTGACACAAGTGCACTAGGTGATCTCATTCATGTGGTTAAGACAAAGTTCATGACCATATGATATATTCAGTTATGTATTTTGTTTGTTTGTCTGATACGTAAAACACTCATCTTCTTAAAGAATACGGGAGGAACAAATTTCAGCAGAATTTCTATTTGATTGGTATGTTTTGGTCGAAATAGAGCAAGAAGATAGAAGTAGAGAAAGAAAAACAGAAACAAGGAAGTAAAAAACGACGAGAACGGAAGAGGGATGAGCAGAAAGGTGAAACTAAAGTGGGAAGAAAGTCTAATATTTAAAAAATAAAAGGCATTAAAATAGAATATGGAAAGAAAAAAAAAGCAAAACTGGATGGGAATGATGTAAATAAAAAGCAGGTCCGAAAAGTACAGAGAAGGAAAGAAGAAAAGCGAAGGTAAAGTGGAAAGAAAGTGTAATATAAAAAGAAAATGGAAGATGGTAAGAAAGAAGATCGGAAGAAAAAAAAAGCAAAGTGGGATGAGGAAGATGGAAATAAAAACCAGGCCATAAAAGTACAGAGAAGGAAGAAAGATATAGAATAAACTATTGGTTGGATGAGTAAACAAGAACGAATGTTTCTTTCGCGTTTTCTATAGAAATTATGCTTCAAAATCTGCGCATTGCCATATAGGTCCATGCTGCTATGGATAAGTATAAGGCAAATGCTGAATAGTTTTGACTTAGTGAGGAGAAGTAGTCTATGCAGCATGAAGGCCTGCGGACTCTGGAATGATCAGCTTATACCGCTAAACCTTCAGACAGCGTCTTCTTTGACATTCAGTTGCACAGCAGGCTTAGATCCTCCACTGAGCATATCACAGTTCGTTACAGGGTCAAGATGGTCGTGTGGATCAAGCAATCGCTGTTAGGTGTCCTTGACGCAGATTAAAAAATGCCATAGTACCTTTTTAGAAATGTTTTGTTGCAGATTGCTTTTCAGCCGCAGGAACTTGTCCAACTCTATAGAACCGGAATGTCGTGGAGAAATTTTCTTCCTGAAACAGTACAAGCCGTATAGCCTTTCAAATATGAAAAACATGTATGAAATGCTGAGATATTTGCAAAAATCCGGACCACAGGTGTATGCAGTGCTGTTGTCGTTACCGAGGAGCAGCGCGTGTTCGTTCCCAACTGCATACACCTGTGGTCCGGAGTTTTGCAAATATCTCAGCATTTCATATGAGTTATATTTCGCAACATACCCTGCCATTAAGAAGGAAAAGGCAGTAAATAAAAGAGTTAAGATAATAAAAAACATGCATATCGACCAATATATTATAGGTGATTTCCGGCCAAACGTTGAGTGACCTCATCACTGTTATGCCATATGCCACATTAGCCGTCAAGTTGGTAGTAAGTGTAACCCAACAGTGGCAGATTTTAACGATTTAAGGATTTGTATCATTGAAGAACGTAAAGGCATTGTTGTGGAAGAATGTAACTTGTGCTTATATGGAAAAATTCCTCCTACTGACTTTAAAGTTTTAGTTCTGGACAAAAAAAAACTTTTAAACTCATCAAACCTTTTGAGAGTTGTCGTTTGAGGTCGATCTGGAACCCCGAATATCAGATTTGACTCCGGGAGAGAGAATGAGTGACGGGATGAGGAATGCATCAAACTGGAGGCGGATCTGAACGTACTTCTTTCTCATGACGGGGACGAAAAAAAATCGAAGGATGGAGAATGTAGCTGGTCGGAACAATTCAATCTGTAAGTGACCTGGCAAAGGTAGTATTAGTCCGGAACGGACCGGATCTATTCGACTCATAAGGAGCTCAATAGTAAGTAGACTATTTTATATGGAACTTCCATATCCGACTGAAGAAGACAATAGGAAAGCACCGTAACGTACAAACAGTGAACCAAAAAGAAAGTCATTTAAGAATCAACTAATCAAGGTAATTATGCTAAAAAGCACCAAATAAATTATTCGTTGACGTTTTTTTCCTTCTTTTTGAAAATTCAGGACTCGTTCACAGCCTTCTTAATCACCGAAGTAACCCAACAAGATACTCAATACTTGATACTTGAACGGCCCGTCCTCATTTGTTGTGCGGGCCCCATCACAACCACCACTTTCGGAGATTTGCTGGCTAAGCCATTATGGTTCCCTGGAGTCCCGAGGTCAGCCTGGCCAAAACCTGCCCCAGGTCGTCACCACGACAGGCTGTCGTAGTCCTTGTGAAACAGAGGGAGATTTGCAATTATGCGACTTTGATACCAAGACGGTGGTGGATCCTGGTATTGGTTTACTCTTAGCTAGGTTTTCTGATGGAAACGCCGGACTCTTTCTCAGACTAGGAGACCCTGCTGGAGGAACGAATCCTTTGCTGTACAACGCAGTCCGTTACCCAGAAACACCTCCCAACCACGATGAGGGGGTAAACCGTTGGAGAAACCCAATAAGAAGCACTAGAAAGTAGGCACCTTTTCTTCCTGAGCATGTGAGTATTCGATCCGCACTGAAACAGTGTGCCATAAAGACGCTCATGAAAATCTAGAAATGTCGCCGGTGAAGGCGATTTGTACTTACCTTCGTTCTGCATTCATGCTAGAACACCGGTATCCGAGAGACTTTGTACTCCATTTGTCGATCAATCGGAAAATCAGTAAAAGGGATAAAGTGATCGGTAATGATCACCATCCCTTCATAATACGTGATGCATTCAGCTGCATCTATAGAATCGTAGAAGTGAGCGAAGGCACACAAAGCCAATACAAATACTTGCCCAGGCAAACCGATTCACTGCCCTAGCGTTTTTATATTCCCAGACAAATTTGGTACCAATCTGTCGATCTCGAAGGGATAAAGAATATGATTTGCGAAGAGTGCGGAATCAAATTCGCGACAATGCACATGTTGCGAGGTCTTGTAGAAAAAATGAAAGGAGGAAATTTCGTAAGGAGATAGAGGCATAAGGTGATGCGGAAAACAGAAAGCTTTTTGCAAAGTAATTCATGTATTCCTGTTTTTTCGCTTTTCATTTACTTTATAAAGACTAGCAACTGAAATGCAACCACAAGAATGCTGAGCTAAGAACAAAACTCGGAACCTCAGGTGGGCTTCAAGCGTGCGATTATCCTTTCTGGAGCCTCACGTACTGTCCACCACACCATTTCCCCTATTGGTGCTGTCAGCAATCACCCATCAAAAGGAACAACATGGAAAGCACAAATCAGCATTAAACTCAGATAAACTGATACGATCAAAAATCAAAGATGCCGTTCTGTACGCCAAACAGTCGAAGATAAGGTGGGCTGGACATGCGTATGAACAACAACCGATGGACAAGAGCCTCTAGTGACTGGATTCATTGGTATGTCAAAAGTACTGTAGGAAAACCACTGACTGAACGGTCAGACCTATTCGCTAAAATCCAGAGAAAAAGATATGATACTCAACGAGTTCCTAGCGTGAGCAGAACCCACTGGGCTGCTCTTGCACGCGACAGGGAAAAACGGAAGATTTACTGGCGCCTGCTCGAGTCACTCGGCGATCAACAGTGCTACAGGTGGTACAGGTGACAGGCGACAGGTGAAGCTGACAGGCAGGTAAGAATAGGCAGTAAATAATAGTTAAGACACTATGATTTCAAAAGCATTCACATGAGCCTCAAGTAAGGGCAATCGCAGGTGTGAAGTCCAGCTTAGGTTCTGAGTTTCGCAGTTTCGTTCATATCTTAGCATACAAATAAAAGTGGTAAACCAGTAAAACAAGAATAAACACATGTAACACGAATTGTAATTCTCTTTTAATCACTGGCCGCCCCAATCACAGGTCATATCATGCATGTAAAGCAACAGAAAGGAAAGGCGTGTGAACTACAAAGTATTCATATTATTATCGCAAAGTATTGGTGGAAATACATGCTCTCTGTGTGATTTTCAAAATGGACAGCTACTGATTTTCTTTAGCAGATTGGGTGCCTCACCGTAGCCAGAAGATCCGTGGAAGCCGATAACTAGGATATAAAGTGAAGTTCATAATTCAACACAACGGCGGAAGATGAGAACTCTGCCGAAGAGTAAGCCTATACTAGAAAATGTCAACATCCTAGAAAAAATCTAACGAAGTTAGCGAACCTCCTTCTATCCAAACGAGTTGGCAATTTCCAGAGAGCGAGACAACAAAGGATATACTCCGAGGAGAAAAAAATTTGGCCCAACCAAACCAACGCTACTCATACAGAAGTTTCGTTCCTTTCTTTCATTCTCTTTTCATGACCCATCTTCACATGTATTATGAAGATCCCAGTACTACCTGCATTCAATTCGTTTACTCGCATCCATCATTCACGAAGGTCTTCGAATTTTTTGCCTGTGAGTTTGGCTGCTGCTTGAGGATTGCCGCATTCTTCATCAACGACGTTGAATGTTGGTCGAGCTAATTCTTCCTGGAGTAATAGCCAGGCTAGAGCATCCGCACCTGGATTGCAAGAAGTGACCTGTTCCCAGACAAGTATAGTGGCGATTTACCGACCCTTGCGAGATGGGTGGACTAGTCAGCCCAGTGGGAGCCGAGTTATTACCGCGGTCGTGATGAACGGCACCACTATCACGGTGTTACTTTCACCCTCAAAGTTGCACTGAATGAACTATAAGCCTTCGCTATAAAAGCGAAAACCCACCGATCAGAGAGACGTTTCCTTTCAGCGCATGTCTTCCATTCGAAGTTGTTTTGGTTGTTGTTGTTCTGAAACGATTTATTGAAGTCCAGCGATTTTCAAACAAGAACGCGTTTCAAACCTCTCAACTACTTTTCCGT